GTTGGTCGTGGGGCCTGAACTCTGGGCCTGGGCACTGTCCCTCAGCTCTTCAGCTCAAGGCAAGCGCTCTACCACTGAGCCACCTTCCCAGCCCCATGGTGTGCTTCTTTTATATATATACAGATATATTAAAAATGTTGTACAGAGGGGTTACAGTTACATGAGTAGGGTAATGAGTACATTTCATAGAGAGCATTGTTACCTCCTCCTTTGTTCGCCCTACCATCACTTCCCTCACCTCCCCAACTCCTTCCGCACCCCAACCCTGACATTGTAAAGTTCGTTTTCAACATAGTGTCCTGTACATCTCATCTTCATCACAGTGGGTCAGTCTGCATCCCCATTTAAGCGTTCCCCAATATCCCTCCCCCTCCCCAAATTACAAAAATGTATATACAAGATGCAGGACACCGGCATCAAATCCAGTGAAAACAGGGGTTATACTATGGGGGAAGAACAAACAAAAGAATCACATAGTGCATTGTAAGTACATTAAAAACAATAGCAATAAAGAAAAAACCACTCGTGTCCCCGTCTTGGGGTACATTTTGCTTAACATTATCTCATGTGGTCATATGTACATAGCCTTTGACCTTCTCTGCTTGTCCTAGACATGTACTAGTTATTGCAAACAAGGGAAACCATGGGACCTATGTTTCTTTGGGCCTGGTTTACTTCACTTAATATAATTTTTTTCCAAGTCTTTCCATTTCCGACTCCGTTCGACAGACACACAACGCCACCTATCAGCCACCATGTGTAACTGCAGCAGTGATGGGAATGCTCACAGGGACTGAGGTTACAGAGTAGCTAGCTCAGTGCTACAGTGCTTCCTGGGCTCTGTCCCCAGCACTGGGCCACACCAAGGTCCTCCCAGTGGTCTTCCAGACCCCAAACATTGCATTTTCAGCCCATGTCCCTGATACCCCCAAGAACTCTTCTAACCCCGTCAGGTTGCTTACATCCTTGCCTGAGGCCCTCAAGGTCCTCCTGTGTGAGGCTGCTCTAGGTGGTCTAGGAATCCCAGACAGCACACAGTGACTTGCACACCACTTCCTGCCTATCCCTGAACATCTGGTCCCAAGCACTTATTCCATGTTCAAATATTAGGTCCAGTGATGCTGAATTTCCTTCCAAACACACTCTACTCCCTTAGCTCCACAGATTATTTCCACTGCCTGGAATACCTGTCTTCCCTCTGAGCAGACCACACAAACCTCCAGTACTGGGACGGAGCTGTGCACAGAGTAGCCACCTGCCACACATGCCATGTAAATTGGTATAAATTAAAACGCTGTTGCTCAGCACAAGAGCAGCATACTGAACACCACAGAGGCAGAGCCTTCCATCTTGGTGGAGCACATGTAGAACACTGACCCTAAGAAGCCTCCTAAAATGCCACATCCACCCTGGCTCACACTTATCCTCGGCCCACAGCATGCAGGTACCTATCTGGTATTCTGCAGGTACTCCAGACACAATGCTGCCAGAGCCCTGGCACAGCACCCTCTATACCTTTATCGCTCACTCGCTGCAATCTGGTTGTTTTTATCAGTACCCGGGCTCCAAGCCTGTCAGGCCTGTTGGTATTCTACTCTAGCCGCTCAGGCCTCCGTCCTAGTGTTTTGCTGATTAACTAGAGATGGGCTCTGACTCTTCTGCTCATGAAGGTTTCAAACCACAGTCTCTGTCCCTCAACCTGCTGAGCAGTTAAGATCATATGCGTGAACCACAGTCAGGCTGCTGCAGCTCCTTAAAAGTTACCCACTGCCCAGACACTGGTGGCTCACACCTGTAACCCTAGCCACGCAGAAGGCCAAGATCTGAGACTGGCAGCCCAGGCAAGAAAGTCTGTGAGACTCTTACCTTCAATTAACTACCCAAAAGCTGGGAGTGGAGCTGTGGCTCAAGTGGTAGAATGCTAGCTTTGAGCAAAAAAGCGCAGGGGCAGGGCCCAGCTCTCGAGCCCCAGGACCAGCATACACACAAAAAAAAGTTTTCCACTAGGCAAACACATAGATATCACAAGGCTTCTCTTCTCAGTAAGACAAAAATAAATCTTCCACTTATATGTTAGCAAGAAATATCCATTCAAAGCAATAAAAAAAGCTGGGCACCGGTGGCTCATGCCTGTATTCCAAGCTACTCAGGAGGCTGAGATCTGAGGGTCACAGTTCAAAGCCAACCCAGGCAGAAAAGTCCATGAAACTCTGATCTCTAATAAACTACTAGAAAACAGGAAGTGGTGCTGTGGCTCAAGAGATAGAACGCTTGCCGTGAGCTGAAGAGCTGAGGGACAGCACCCAGGCCCAGAGTTCAAGCCCCACGACCAACCAAAAAAGAAAATTATACGAAGTGTGGAACTGGGGGTGAAAAGGAAAATTCTGTAAAAGAAAGGAAAGGAAAAGGGAAAGGGAAAGAGAAAGAGAAAAGAAAAGGAAAAGGAAAAGGAAAGGACCCTTTGAGTTTCAGGCATGGCTCAGGCAGAGGAGAATCAGCCAATGAGCAAAAGCAAACAGCAGACAATAAGTTCAAGTCCCAGGCTCAGACAAAAGAAGGGGGGGGGGAGAGAAGGAAGAAGAAGAAAGAGGAGGAGGAGGAGGAGGAGGACGAGGACGAGGACGAGGACGAGGAGAGGGAGAAGAGAGAGAAGAAACAACTTCTCTGCCTGCTACCCTGGCCAGAGCAGCCCTTTTCATCTGGCCAAGATTTCAACCAGGATTTCAGCTGACAAGTGGCCAATTTGAAAAAGATGAGAGGCTAGGGATGTAACTGAGGTAGTTAGTCTTGCTTAGCACACAGAAGGCCCTGGGTTCAATCCTTAGCACAAAAAAAGGAAAAGGAAAAAAGGGAAGCTGGGCGCTGGTGGCTCACGCCTGTAATCCTAGCTACTCAGGAGGTTGAGATCTGAGGATCACAGTTCAAAGCCAGCCTGGGCAAGGAAAGTCCATGAGACTCTCACCTCCAGTTAACCACCAAAAAACCAGAAGTGGTGCTGTGGCTCAAGCAGTAGATCCCTAGCCTTGATCTGAAGAGCTCAGAGACAGCACCCAGACCCAGAGTTCAAGCCCTAAGACCAACAAAAAAAAAGGAAAGGAAAAGGAAAGGATGATAAAAATCAATGATATATGCTTTATGCTTTTCTAATTTTGTTTCAAATATTAAAGACATCTGAACTAATTAAATATTAATAAGAAATTATATATACACATTCAGTTGTTTTGCAATATGCATTTTTTTATTTAAAAGGCAGTGAAAAATTATATATATACGTATATATATAAAACACACATATGGTGTATATGTGTATGTATGTGTATATACACACACCGTCCCAATTCAAGCAATTTATTACAGAAAAATCAACTGTGAACTATACTGAGATATATTCATATCTTCCTGACAAAAATAAGAGGGATTTTTAACAACTTCCAGCCCACTGCTAAAGCAGATTTAAAGACGTTCTCTTGCTGGTCCACTTCCCTCTGAAATTCATTTCCCACTACCTCCTACTCCTTCTACACCACCCACAGCTGTGGGGAAACAAATTCCTTGCACTTCCCAGCCCCTCACTCTAGCAGTGCTCACAACCTGCCCTGTACCAGGCTGGTCTCCCCAACACCAAAGGCCAACTCTGGGGTCAGGTGGCATTTTTTCAAACTGGCCTTGATCCCCTCTCCTAATTAAGTGCAATCTGCCCTTCTCTCGATTTGCTTGATTCACTTAAATGACAGAAGCTTGTAGGGGTTCCACGTTATTTCAGTATTTCCTGTGTTGTAATCAGCTTTAGAGACCAGAAACCATCAGGATTCTCTTCCAAGTGAGATAAAGATAAGTCTTGCCACCTTGGGACACATTATGACATAATTTTAAGAACTAGATTGTTTTCAATCCAAGTTCCAGAATTCCAAACAATCTGAGAACCATCACATGAATACATTCTCTCTGACTGTTCCCCTCCAGGCTCTCATGTCTCCCTCCCTACTCTATACTGCACTGATCCTGACCCGTTTACAAAAAGAATGATAGGTGTCACTTTGATCTTTTAATCAATCTATAGCTAAAACTGTCCCACTTCAAATATAGCTTTCCCAGTTACAAGACAGTACAATATTTAAACTAAATCCCTCCAATTAGCTATATCATATGTCCAAGCCCAAACCTTTAAATCATCTCCTCTTACAATTACAGTGGCTCGGGCTGGGAAGTTGGCCCAGTGGTAGAGCGCTTGCCTTGAACGCCTGAGGCCCTGGGTTCGATTCCTCAGCACCACATAAGCAAAAAAGAAAAAACCTGGAAGTGGCACTGTGGCTCAAGTGGTAGAGCGCTAGCCTTGAGCTGAAGAGCTGAGGGACAGCGCCCAGGCCCAGAGTTCAGGCCCCACAACCGGACCCCACCCCCCCCCCCAAAAAAAAAAACAATTACAGTGGCTCACACCTGTAATTCTAGCTACTCAGAAGGCCAAATCGGAGGATTGCAGTTCAAAGCCAGTCTAGGCAGAAAAATTCCCGAGACTCTTTTTTTTTTTTTCTCGTCAGTTATGGGGCCTGAACTCTAGGCCTGGGCACTGTCCCTCAGCTCTTCCCTAGCTCAAGGCTAGCACTCTACCACTTGAGCCACAGCGCCACTTCCGGCTTTTTTCTTTTTGCTTATGTGGTGCTGAGGAATCGAACCCAGGGCCTCAGGCATGCAAGGCAAGCGCTCTACCACTGAGCCACCTTCCCAGCCCTACGTGAGACTCTTATCTCCAATTAACTACCAGAAAACTGGAAGTGGTGCTGTGGCTCAAGGGTAGAGTGCTCGCCTTGAGCTGAAGAACACAGGGACAGCAGCTAAGCCCAAAAACCGACAAAAAAAAAAAAGATTATTATTGTTATTATTATCATTACAGTGCCTGTAACAAGTCTCAGAGCCCAGGTCAAACTCTACCCACTGACAAAAATAACTTGGAGATAAAATTTGGAGATAAAATCCAAGTACTTTACCCAAGCAGTTTTTACCTTATACAGCGGACGGCGTACATCTATGGGACAGTTCTGTATTACTTCATCAACAACATCGGAGATAGATTCCATAAAGTCTGGGTTGGCAAACTAAACCACACAAAAATATTAGAAATCATACATTTCTCTCAAATATTATAAAATAATCTTTTTTAAAGTAACTATATTGAGGGAAGGGATGATACTGTCCAAAAAGGAATGTAATCTTGACCTGACTGATGTAATTGTAACCTCTCTGAACAATACTTGTATAATAACAATAAATTTTTTAAGAGAATAAATAAAAGTAACTTTAGAATGGAGGAAGGGTGAGAAAATGCAGTCATTATATTCAATGTACATTATGTAAATACTGAACAACATAACTTGAAGATAGGGATAGGAGAAAAGAAAAATGATGGAAGGAATGACAGTGAACAAGATATACTATACTCATAACCTGACTTATGGAATTGAAACCTCTTTAAACAACTATTTAATTTTTAAAGTAATTTTAGCAAATGCACAATTCACCCTAACTGAAAGCACATCACACTGGAGTGAGGGTATGTCAATGTGACTGACCATGTGTCTCATAGAGGTTCAATATGGAGGATTGTAAGGGAAGATATCTAAAAGGACAGGAACAGGTCAGCCCTATATCATGAATGCCCAGCAATTCGTGACAATCAGAGAAATGAAAAACATATATGTATAAACTTTAAAACATGCAGTGACAAACATACAATTGTGAATATTAAAACCACACACACACACAGAAAAATAAAAAATACTAGCCCAGAAAAAAAATGTTCAATGAGAAATTAATTAGACATGCTTTAATTGATGATAAAACAATCCATGTAACAACCATGTTGGGTAAACATCCTTACCTTAGATTCAATTCCATAACTTAAATACACAAAGTACAAACAACTCTACTACATTTGAAATAGATTTTAAAAGACAAGGAAAGTTTGAATGTGCTGTAGTTTCAGAGGAAGGAAGCATCCATGTACCACATGCTAGGTATTGAACAGTTTTGTGTTTATTTCACATCAAGGCTCTTGGGAAAAGCCTGTGTGTTCACTAGTTAATTATTATTCATCAGATGATCAAAATTATTCATTAGATTTCTGGTAAGATTACTTCTTATGCCAAATGGTCATATGTGTATAAGACCAGACAGCAGTTTGTTACCTATCTACTAAATATAACCTGAGTTAGGAAGGCAATTATACCAAAATACAAATAAAATGCATTATATATAAACCTGAAGCAATGCATCTTAATGATTGCTTTCTGCAAATGTGCTAACAATCCCTGTGGCAATATATATAATTTACATACTGTTCACATAACAAAACTGGTGGCCTCCACTGAGCAGTGCTACCTAACTTGCAGCACGGAGCACAGTAGGATCGAGGGCCCTGTGTTAAAATTGGGATTAGGATGGACAATCACTAGTGGTTCATGCATATAATCTTAGCTATTCAAAAGCCAGCCTGGGTAGAAAATTCCAAGAGACTCTATCTCCAGTTAAAACAAAGAGAGGAGAAGGGAGGGGAAGGGAGGGGAGGAGAGGGGACTGGAGGGGAGGGGAGGGGAGAGGAGAAGAGAGGAGAGGAGAGGGGAGGGGAGGGAGCAAGCAAGCTGGCTCAAGTGGTAGAGCATTAGCCATGAGTGAAAAGGCTGAGCAAGAACAAGAGGCCCTGAGTTCAAGGCCTGTACTAGCGCCCCCCCCCAAAAAAGGACAATAAATCTAAGATTAGAGCAAAACATGGTAATGCACACCAGAGATGAAAATACAAAGTTCAAAACCAGCCCAGGCAAAGTCAGTAAAAACAAAAGGCTCAAGGCTGGGAATGTGGCTTAGTGGTAGAGTGCTTGTCTAGCATGCATGAAGCCCTGGGTTCAAGTCCTCAGTACCACATAAGCAGAAAAAGCCAGAAGTAGTGCTGTGTCTCAAGTGGCAGAGTGCTAGCTTTGAGCAAAAGAAGCTCAGGGATAGTGCCAAGGCCCTGAGTTCAAGCACTGGGACTGGCAAAAAGAAAAAAGAAAAAAAAAAAAAAAAGGCTTAAGAGACGGAAATAAGAGGATCATGACTTCAAAACCAGTCGAAACAAAGAATCAGCAGAAACAAAAGGGTTCTTGCCTACTATGAGTTCAATCCTCAGAATCACAAAACAATGAGAAAAATGTTGTATTTCATCACATTGTTACTTAGAGGCAACCTGTATACAATCCCTAGTTGTTATATTAATACATGCCACCCCTGAAGATCAATTTCATTCCATTGTCTTCTGTTGCTCTTAAAACGTAAAACTCCAAACCTCTCCAGGACTATCCTTCCTTAATTTAATTATTAAAGTAAGTCCCTGATGAGGCAAACAAACAACTGAGCAGACCTAGAATATACCTAGGAGACCTCCACCCCTGCTCACTGGTCATCACTGGGAACTGCAGCTAATGCACACTGGGGGCAGTACCTTACCTCCGGGTGAAAGAATATTTCGGGTCCCAGGAACCTTTCATAGCCAACATCAATAATAAACTTCTTCTGGTTGATTGCATTGATGCCTGTGTACTGCTTGATCCACTTCCGGGGGTCCACATCATACTTAGCAAACTCCTTGACTATGTCAGGGCAAATGTAACAGTACTTCTCCTGCATGTACACAGAGAGACAACACCAGGCATGAACTACTAATCTCTGATGTCTCTGCCCTCTGACAAACACACAGGACCCCCTGCATTAAACACCTGTGAACTGGGTCTGCCCACACTCATTCCAGTGTGCATGTGCTACCAAGCCATCAAGTGGTACTCCATCAGCTTTCACCTTAGCCATGGCTGCACTTAGTCTTGGGGCTGTCTGGTCCCCCTGCAATTTAGCTTCCAATCTCAGCCTTAAGTCTCTCAAACTAAGTGTCAGCCCCTTGCCCACCTCACCTTTGCATGTCCTCTCAGGCTTCCTAGCGGGGGCCTGCACCTCACTGCTCTCCACCTAAATCTACTAAGCATACTGTCTATATCAGACTGGCACCGAAGGGAGTCAGCTCTGTTCACCTGCTGGTTCTTCACCTGAGTGGAGTCCTCGGGCCCCTGGGGAATCAGCATGTTTGAAGGCAAAATCACTCAGTTGTGCCCAAAATGTCAGGTCAATGTCCTCCAGCGTGTTAGTTCATTTAACTGGTGACATGAGGTGCGCCCATAAAAGTGTTCATCTCAAGGCTCTGGATTCCAGGTGCACCCACACCCTCAGGCCTGTCCTGACTACAGGAAGTCTCAGCAGGGACGGGAAGCACACGTACGATGAGCATGTCAGGACTGACCACACACAGAGTTTTGAGTCTTCACTCCCAATCTTCACAGGTGTGCATTAAGGTCAAAACCCAAGCATGGCAGGACACCTATAATCCTAGCTACTCAGGAGACTGAGATCAGAGGATCAAGGTTCAAAATCAGCCAGCCGAGGGAGAAAATCCTGTGAGATTCTCATCACCAATTAACATCAAAAGGCCAGAAGTGGCACTGTAGCTGAGTTGCTAGTGCCAAACTTCAACACACACCAAAATCAAAAACAAAAAAAACTGTGCTTCTCAGATTGCACAGAATTGGAGTATGGCTAGCCAATGAGCAAACTAAGTGTGTGGAATGAGGCTCAGGAAAAACATGTCATCAGCAGTCCACTCAGGGAGCCTGACACAGAAAGGGATACTCAAGACTCCTGGAGTGACCCTGGGTATCAGCAGCAAGAGTACAATTTTGATTTGCTGCTGCTGTGACTTATGATTTTGAGAGAGCAAGGAAGCTTGCATCAAATATCCAGTTTTCTCCCACTGACAAAAAAAAACAAGGAAAAGAAAGTGGGGCAAACACTGGAAATATTTTACTCTGACCACATCTCTAAAAACCTCTCCCCCAGGGAAGGGACATCACCATTGAGCAGTAGGAGCTGGATCCCTAGAAACTCCAGGCCTAAGACAAGTAGAAGCACACTTGCAGTGCCCAACACTTGGCCCTGTCCTCAAAATACCTGTCTACAAGAGTGTCAAGTAAAACTTGGGAAATACTCTGGTGCTTCCTTTCCTTCGAGTGCCTGTCTTCCAAATCTCTCAAGTGTAGGAGAAAGGCATCTATCACACCTCCACTCTCAAACTCTTCTCCAAAATGTTTCCTTCTTCATCTAGGAAAAATTAACTTGGAATTATTAGAGACCTCTTTCATTTTGATTTTTAAACCTATCTTGATTTTGCAACCTAAGCAGAATTCCTTTAAAAGAGTCTAGGTCTGTGAGTGTCACATAGACACTATTAAATAAAAAAATCCAACAAGCCTCTTGCCTTCTAATCTTATAAATTCCAAACTTCCATTCTTTTTCTGGTCCAGTAACTAAAATCTAGAAATACGGTGAGTCCTGTCTGAGGATTCTGCTCCTGCAATGGTGTGGGGTTCAGAAGTATACTCTTGGTGCGCTGACAAGGGCAGACTCCCCAGGGCTCCTGACAGTCAATGCTGCTGCTGTGACTTGTCCCTCCCTATTCTAGATGGAGGCACAGGAAGGCTGGAAGCCACGCACAGCTAATCTGTCTAATTAGGCACCAGTGAAACAATGCTGGACTACGCATGCTACTGGTTCAATCTCAAGCTGTGGAGAAGAGGCAGCTGAGCCTTAAGTTCCAGCCTACTTCATTCACTGGCAAACAAACCAAGGCCCACACTCACAAGGGGGAGAGGAGGGAAGGTAGGAGCAGGGAGGATAGCATCTGGGGAAGTATCCAAGCACCATTTCTCTCTCACCCCCAAACCACTCAGGTTTCCATCTGTTTTTTACCTTAATGGCTTTTGCGGTCTCCAGTGACTGCTCAGGAGGGATTCCCACCTCCCTCTCCCTTAGCAGCTGTTGAATGAAATACGTAATATCTCTACCTGCAATCGGGATGTGTTTGATGCAGCTTCCAATTACATAACCTTCTGCCTGAAGAAGAGGAGGAAGAACAGCCCATATAAATAATCTGCAGTCAAGAACCTGGCCCAGGAGACTTTCAGCCACACCTTCCTGCCTCCCCACATGTAAACTAGCCAACATTTACCGGCTCCCACTGAAGACCAGCTCCACGCCAGAGGCCTTTTTAAATTACAGCAAATGTGGTTCCATTAATATTTCAGTGTAATTACTCCAATAACATGAGATCATAAGCAACCAAAATGTTTCATTAGGAATGTAGTTCTCAAGAAAAATGGAGAGGCTATTTCACTACCACAAGGTAACACTATCTGTGAGAACAGTAAATGCAACAGTAGGATTCTCTCTAACAAAAAGAAAAAGATCATACTACGGCTTGTTAAATCTATTACAAATTGGCCTATAGTAAAAGTCGGTAACATAGTGATGTACACAAGACTGTAATTCTAACAGCCTGGATTGAAGTCCAAGTCCCAGATTGGTTAGCTATGTAACTCTAGCCAAGGTGAGTGTGTTTTAGCCACAGCCTTTTATCCAGTGAGGCATTTACAACAGTGCGAATACAATCCTCTATGTCAAGCACACAGCACTGCTTTATAGCATGCACAGTATGCAGTAAATGGTTCGAAGTCAGTCCGGGCAGAACAGTCCCTGTGAGGTTCATAAGAGTAGAGATGTGGCTTAAGTGGGAGAGTGCCAGCCTTGGCTGAAAAAGCTAAGGGACAGCACCCAGGCTCTGAGTTCAAGACCCACAACAAAAAAAAAAAAACTGTGAAAATATTAAACACACACACACTACTTTTTCTGTGGGCCTAGAGAGCATATAAAATGTATTTTCTTTTCCTAAATCAGAGATTTGAGAAAGATTACGAATTAAAAAGGAGCCAAGTGTGGTGGTGCTAATCTGTAATGCCAGTGCAGGGTAAGCTGGCCTAGGCTGCATAGTAAGACTGTCCCAAAACAAAACAAGCAAAGGAAAATACAAACATCCCCCTCCCTGTGTCCAAAGCAGCTGGTCCTGGATCTGTGTTCTCTGAGGGGACCACATCACAGACAAAGCCAGAGGCCTTAGTTCCATTAGTATTACACCACAAGTACATGGACACTTTCCAGCAATCCACAACAACAGCACTCTGAGATTGGTTTGAGGTACTCAAGGGAAGTTCAGACTTCACACCCTGTGCACAGGCCACACTGGAGGGACATAGATGGACATCAGTGATGAGGCCTTTCCAATAAACCACTGGTAAGTTAAATACGTACAATCATTTCTTCAAGTTACCAAAATGAAATGGTGGCTAATTTTTTTTCTAACTGAAGTATATGGATCATCGGGATTTTCTTTTTTTTTTTCCTTTTTGTTTAAAATCTTAATTTTTTAGGGGGGTTTTGGCTTGTTATTTGGGGCTTTGAGTCAGTCCTAGGACTTGAACTCATGGTCTGGGCACTGTCCCTTAGATTTTTCAGTCAAGGCTGGTACTCTACCATTTAAGCCACACCTCCACTTCTGGCTTTTGGGTGATTAATTGGAGATATGAGTCTCATAGACTTTTCCTGCCTAGGCTGTCTTCAAACCATAACCTCAGATATCAGGATTACACGAGTGAACCACCAGTGCTTGGTCCTAATCTGTTGTCATTTTGGGAGGCAAAGCCTCCCAATGCAGCCAAGGCTGACCTCAAACTTCTGCATCAGCCTCTAAGTAATGGAATTGTATGTAGATACTGCCATGTCTGGTTCCACTAATTTGTGTCGGGGGAGGGGGAGTTTATTTTCCAGTGCCAGTACCAGGGCTTAAACTCAGAGCCTCGTACTCTCTCCTAGCTTTCAGCTTTCTTGCCCATGGCCAGCAATCTACCTCTTAAGCCACACCTCCAACTCTGAAGTTTGCTGGTTAATTGGAGATTGAGTCTCGTACACTTTTCTGTCTGGGTTGCTTCAAACTAGGACCCTCAAACCTCAGCCTCCTGAATATTTAGGATTGCAGACATGAACCACCAGTGCCCAACTTCTAATTCATATTTTTTAAAGTAGATATATAAACATACACATACACCAATACAAGGAAAAACCATATCTACAGGACATAAAAATAGTCACTGTGGTTACTGAGGAGGAAACCTATGAGGATGATCAGGAATGTTTGACTTTCCACTTGAAAAGCAGTTTTTAAAAAACAAATAAATTTTAAATAATTCTTCCAGATGGACACTGGTTGCTCAAAGTGGTAGAGTGCTAGCTCTGAGTGAAAAAAAAAAAAAAACAACTCGGGAACAGCACCCAGCCCTGAGTTCAAGTCCCACGACCAACAAAACAAACAAACAAATAAATAAATCTTACAAATAATGCATTGATCCAAAAGGAAAAAAAACAAAAAGCTCCTACAATCTGAATTTGGAGTCACTTCTCTTAACATCTCAAAACTTTGAAACCAAAAGGTACTATTTCAGAGCGCTCGTATACTAGAATATACATCTCTCCTTCTTGGCTCTTAAATAAATATAAAGAACAAAGGCAAATTCTCCAAGCATGAGCTAACTACAACCATCCACATCTTTTCACAGAGCACAAACTTTCAAATGTGCTTGCAAGAACCCACAAACTGACATCCAAAACAATGTCACCCAGAGGCCCAGAGATACAAGGCAGGAGTATTGCTACTTCCCCGTGGAATGACAGAGAGACCCCGGAATTGCAGGTAACTGCTCACATTCTGACTGTAGAAGGTACAAAGCCACACATCTTGGCCATCTCCTGCACTCCCCACATTCCTGGGTTTTTAAAACTCCTGTTGCCTTTTCTAATTACATCACTTAAGAAATGGTGTTTTCATTACAGAGGGTGCAGGGTTTTGCTTTGCTTTTCTAATCTCTCCCCTTACCTCAGATCAGAAGCAAGGGTGAACCACTGTGCTTACCACTGGGATGACGTGGGTGACGCCATCCCCACTGTCGATGACTGTCCCGGTCAGCGTGCGCTCCCCGACCTGTCGAGACGTCCAGGAGGCTGCGAGAGCCAGCACTGCCTACAGAGAAGACACAAAACATTCCAGGAGGCTGCGAGCGAGAGCCAGCACTGCCTACAGAGAAGACACAAAACATTCCACGAGGCCGCGAGCAAGAGCCAGCACTGCCTACAGAGAAGACACAAAACATTCCCCAACGCAGTCAGCCTTCTTGTTCTTTGGTTGAATCAGTAAACGCTTACTTAGCAAGTCTAAGAAACACTTTTCTTTCCCTATCCTCTAAGATATCCTCTACGCCTTTCTCTAAGATTCCTATTCCAAGTCAGGCACCAAGTCAGGTGGCTCACTCCTATAATCCTAGCTACTCAGGAGGCTGAGATCTGAGAATCTCAGTTCAGAGCCTGCACAGGCAGGAAAGTCAATGAGACTCTTATCTCCAATTAACCACCAGAAAACCGGAAGTGGTGCTGAGGCTTAAGTGGTAGAGCGCTAGCCTTGAGCTGAAGAGCTGAGGGACGGCACCCAGGCCCAGAGTTCAGGGCCCCCGACCATCAAAAAAAAAAAAAAAAGATCTCTATTCCAACCTAAAATGTGTATGTCATATATTTAAAATGCAGGAGTCTCAAATTTCCAACAAATACTTCTGAAGGTTTACAAAGAAAAGCCAGGATAAAATAAAGAAGGTTTTTTTGTTGTTGTTGTTGTTTGCCTGTCCTGGGGCTTGAACCCTGAGCCTGGGCGCTATCCTGAGGTTCTGTGCTCAAGGCTAGCACTCTACCACTTGGGCTACAGCTCCACTTCCAGCCTTTTGGTAGATGTAGTGGAGATAAGAGTCTCACAGACTTTCCTGCTTCGAACTGTGATCTTCCCATCTCTGGCTTCGAACCGTGATCCTCAGATCTCAGCCTCCAGACTAGCTAGTATTACAGATGTAAGCCACCAAAGCCCGACTTCTTTTTTCTTCTTGTGCCAGGCCTGAGCTTAAACTCAGGGCCTGGGTGCTGTCACAGAGCTTCTTGCTCAAGGCTAATGCTCTATCACTTAAGCCACAGCTCAACTTCTGGCTTTTTGGTGGTTAGAGATAAGAGTTTCATAGATTTTCTTGCACAGGCAGGCTTTGAACCCACTATCTTCAGCTCTCAGCCTCCTCAGTAGCTAGGATTACAGGCATCACAGTTTCCTGGCTGAAAAGATTTCTTTATAAAATCAAATATTATAATTTCTAATCCAGTTTCTCTCCATGTGAAGCCACAGACGAGCTAACATTAAATCACTGCTGTAGTTATTTATAATACAGACAGCTAAGGTTCCCAGCCAGAAATTCTAGCCAGACAGGTGTAGCAGAGTGGTTCTCAGCCAGGGGCAGGTACTGCGCAGGGCAGCATCTGGAGCCATTACCACTGTCACAGATGTCAGGAGGGAAGGCTGCAAGTAGTTCTCCAGTAGGTGGAGGTCAGGCCACAGCTAAGCATCCTGGACTACACAGGACACTACTATACAAGGAACTATCTAGCACAGAGCACAGAGGCTGCCAAACACTGGTCAGGGATGAAGCATAACTGTACTTTTAAAACACACTCTTGCTGCCGGGCATGGTGGCTCACACTTGTAATGCTAGCTACTCAGAAGGCTAAGATCTGAGGATCACGGTTCAAAGCCAGTTCAGGCAGAAAAGTCCATCAGACTCATCTCCAATAAACCACTCAGAAAACTGGAAATAGCACTGTGGTTCAAGTGGTAGAGTACTCACTTTGACCTGAAGAGCTAAGTGACAACAGCCAGGCCCAGAGTTCAAGCCCCACAACCAACAACAACAACAAAAAAAACACTCTTGCTGGGAGCCAGTGGCTCACGCCTGTAATATTAGCAACTGAGGAGGCTGAGATCCGAGGATGACGGTTCAAAGTCAGCCCAGGCAAGAAAGTCTGTGAGACTTTTTTTTCTTTTTTTTTCTGTCAGTCGTGGGGCCTGAACTCTGAGCCTGGGTGCGGTCTCTCAGCTCTTCAGCTCAAGGCTAGCACTCTACCACTTGAGCCATAGAGCCACTTCCAGTTTTTTCTGCTTATGTGGTGCTGATGAATCAAATCCAGGGCATCACGCATGCAAGGCAAGCACTCTACCACTGAAACACCTTCCCAGCACCACTACCCCAACTTTCTTTTATGCCAGTCCTGGGGCTTTGACTTTGGGTCTGGGTATTTGTCCCTGAGCTTCTTTTGCTCAAGGCTAGCACTCTACCATTTGAGCCACAGCACCACTTCTGGCTTCTTCTGTGTATATGGTACTGAGGAATCAAACCCAGGGCTCCATGCATGCAAGGCAAGCATTCTACCACTAAGCCACATTCCCAGCCCCCGTGAAACTCTTATCTCTAATAAAACTACTAGGAAACGGGAAGTGGCGCTGTGGCTTAAATGGTAGAGCACTCGCCTTAAGCTGAAGAGCTCAGGGACAGCACCCAAGCCCAGAGTTCAAGCCCCATGACCTACCCACTCCCCCCCCCAAAAAAAACCCACTCTTCAGGGGAACTAAGACCTGAATATAGGATCACTCTGATATTACTCAGTCAGTGTTTTCTAAAGTGTCTCCCTGTAATACAGAATATACTTAACTTGGGGGAGGAATAATTAGTTGAATGAATTTGTCTAATTGCTAGAATAAATATATTTTTCTCAACATTGGAATTCTCAGAGTATTTACTATGCTAAGAAGCACTATGGGTAAATCAAAGATAACAGAGCACAGTAGTCCAAAAATTCATTTCTCTGTGGAACTCTTCCTCTTCCTTTTTCTTAGTAAGGACTAACACTAGTCAGAAAACTGAGGAAAATATCCATCTCATTTATCCCCTAAAACTTCAACCAATTTATTTGTAGAAAGTGGCAGACACAGAACTACCTAAAACAGTCATTTTTCCTGAAAGCTCAGGATCTCTCAGAACCAAGAGTACACTGGGATTAATCAGAGTTCAAATTAATATAGTGACTGCCAAAAGTATTTAGTTTTTCAAAAGATTCTCCAAGCCAGGCATCAGTGGCTCACACCTATAATTCTAGCTACTCAGGAGGCTGAGATCTGAGGATCATGGTTCAAAGCCAGCCCAGGTTGGAACGTCCATGAGACTCTTATCTACAATAAACCACACAGAAAACCAGAAGTGGTGTTGTGCTCAAGTGGTAGAGGGCTAGCCTTGTGCTGAAGAACTGAGGGATAGCGCCCAGGCCCAGAGTTCAAGCCCCATGACCAACAAAAAAAAAAAAGATTCTCCAATATCTAGGGTTTGGGTTTGTTTGTTTTTTTTTTGTTTTTTTGTTTTGTCTGATCAAAAGTGAAAGAAATCCATTGGACAAAACACTAGACTTTACATTTCTATACCAGCAACATTTATGTAAGTCATGGACTATGTTCTCCACAGTGCTCTAGTTCAGCCTAAATGGTACGTGGCCATGAATGTACACGCACACTTGTGGATGAAGAGCAACACAACCTTACAACAAAGATCCTTTGTAATTAGCTACAGAGTAAGATTCTTTAGAAATTACAAAAAAAAAAATAGCTTTTTTTTTTTTTTTTACCTGAACTGCAATGTAGAGTCCTGGTACATTAAATGATTCAAACATTATTTCTGCAAGATATTCTCTATTTTCTGGTGTATTCAATGGAGGTTCTGTCTGTAAGAAAACATTCGTTCCAGTTAGTGTATGCCCCAAAGCTTAAGAAATTATATTAGAATTATACAAAAACTAACCTAAAGATACGGTAGCTAGGACACTGTACAACTCCCTAGTCTTACAGACAGATGAAACCTAAGGTGATTTTAAAAATCATCCAGCTTTGTACTAAGGTAAGATCTGAGGATCACAGTTCAGAGCCCGCCTAGGAAAGAAAGCATGTGAGACTCTTATCTTCAATTAGCCACCAAAAAGCTGGAAGCAGAGCTGTGGCTCAAGTGGTAGAGGGCTAGCCTTGAGCATAAAAGCACAAGGACAATACCCAGGTCCTGAGTTCAAGCCCAAGGATTGCCCACCCCCCTAAAAAAAAAAAAAGAAAAAAGAAAAAGGTCTTGAATTATACTTAATACATACACACAGAAAAATAGAAACACGAGGTAAAATAAATCAGCAAATGAAGACAAACCAATCTACCATAGATCAGTGTAAAATTACTCCATAGATAGATAGATAGATAGATAGATAGATATAGATATAGATAGATAGCTTTTTTTTCTTTGTCAGTTGTGGGGCTTGAACTCTGGGCCTGGGCACTGTCCCTGAGCTTTTCAGCTCAAGGCAAGTGCTCTACCACTTAAGCCATGGTGCCACTTCTGGTTTTCTGGTGGTTAACTAGAGATAAGAGTCTCACAGACTTTCCTGTCTGGGCTGGCTTTGAACCCCGATCCTCAGCTCATAGCCTCCTGAGTAGCTAGGATTATTGACACCAGCTTTTTTTTTTTGTTCTGGTCCTAGGGCTTGTATTCAGAACCTGGGTGCTTACCCTGAGCTTTTCTGCTCAAGGCTAATACTCTACCACTTGAGCCACAGCTCCACTTTTTTTGCTGGTAATTGGAGAGATGAGACTCACAGACTTTCCTGCCCAAACTGGCTTTGAATTGCCATCCTCAAATCTCAGCTTCCTGAGTAGCTAAGATTACAGGCATGAGCCACTGGCGTCTAACTATATAGCATTTTAGACATGCAATTAATTCTAAAAGAACATTTCATGGAAGGAAACATGTAATATTTGATAGAATAATCAGAGCATACCACATAAATAAGAAATGTCTCTCCTCATTTCTCAATAATTAGTTTGAACAAGATAGTTACTTACTTTACTATAGCATAAAACTCTGGAGAAGAAAAATAACATCTTAACTAAGTTTCTTCTGCTATAGGAAGTAGTAATGATCTTAGCATCTAGCTACTCCTCAGAAGTACTAAAGTACACAGTTGGTGTCCTATGCAAAACTATGCCTCCTTTTATGGTGCTTACTGTTGGGAGTCCTTACCCAATCCTCCTATCCCAGATACCAGCCATGGTCCCACCCTTCCCATCCCAGGGAGAGATCTTGATTAATCTTCATCAGTTAAGGTTATCCATTCCTCTCTACTGACCAAGTCAGGTATAGGCAGATGGGGTAAATCTGCTGGGAGGTTTCTATGAAAGGGTTTCTAAATTCCTAAAAAGCAGTGTTCAAGCAAAAGCTTCTCTTAGATCGGACTGAACAGAAATACCTGGAGAGGAGACTGGGAATGTGGTAGAGTGCTTGCCTAGCATGCATGAAGCCCTAGATTCGATTCCTCAGTACCACATAAACAGAAAAAGCCAGAAGTGGGGCTATGGCTCAAATGGTAGAGTGCTAGGCCTTAAGCAAAAAGAAGCTCAAGCCCTGAGTTCAAGCCCCAGGACTGGCAAAAACAAGAAAGGGGAAGAGAGAGAGGGAGATAAAGGGGGAAAGAGAGAGAAGAGAGAGGAGACAGACAGACAGACAGACAGAAACTCACCAGCCATCCTGAGATGGGGAGTCAACAGAAGAAGTTGTGCTAAAGGAGATTCCATCTCTGAGCTGCTAAAGCAAGCAGCCCCAGAACCACCAGGCCCTTCCTTCCTGCTCTGCAGAATAATGGGCTGTGTTTGCTCCTAGACAATTTTACTGAGCTTTCTGTTATTTGCATTGATTCATGTGAATGTCTTCAGAAGGAATTTTAAATTCCTTAAGTTGAAAAGTTGAATTTCAAGCTGAGTTAGAAATCCCAGCAAGAAGAATTTACAGAAATACATGCCTTAGTTCCATTTACTCACCATTAAAAAATAATGGTCCTCAGGTTCAGCACGAAGATATTTAAAAACCACTTGTTCCATGAACCTTTCCATAAGATCCCAGTCCTCAATGATTCCATGTCGTATAGGCCACTGAGCAAGAGAAACCAAATCATGTTCAGCTTCAGAACAATAAGAGCAAACAGGCACACAGAACCACAGAATGGCATCATCCTGAAGTTAGTAACTCATGCCAGGAAAACAAGAGGCACTTAAACAGAAAGACTGCTTGTATATGTTTACTACTGTGTACATACTGTTTATATCTGTTACTGCTCAATTACAAAGGTCCACTTCAATAATGATAAGCAGAAACATCTATCTCATCTATCATGCAAATGAATCTGGTGCTTTCATTCCTTTTTTTCTTCTTTTCAAACAATGTTAGTGTTTCTTCTTAATTTCTCAAACCATAATCTTCCTTGTCTAATAGGTTCAACAATTAACCTGAAATTCTCAAGAGGAGATTTTTGCTTTCATGGGTGACCATGTTCCCTGAGTCAATCTGCATTCCAGAGCTTTAATTCACTTGGTTCCTCACTCAGAAATATACCTATTCAGAAACAACCTACTGTTGTTCTGTTTCACCTACAGTTCATCTACCCACCTCCAGCCAAGCCTAAGAGCAGAATCACATTCCACAACTCTGGAATACAGCTTCTAATTCATCCGACTGCTCTGTTCTTGGCTCTGCTCTTAAAAACTGTTCAGAAGTTTACCTTTGTAGCGTAGGTAGGTTTGTCGATGGCTTCATCCCCTATGAAAAAGTCAAGGTCATCAACTCCCCTCAACACTCTCCTTTGGGCCTGGTCAACTACCTTTGCAGACTCTCTGATGGCGATACCTTTAAAATAAAATAAAAAGCACAAAGATTTCCATCATTCTCCACATGAATCTGAAAACTCAAGAATGGATAACACAATAGTATAGCCCTATGCTGATACAACAGTTCAGTACCTGGGTATATACGAGCAAATTTTCAATGTCAAGTTTTTCTTTGAAGGTGCACATGGGAAAAGTTTCAATGAGCCCAGAGAGTAATCCTGAGGCAAGTTATCGTTTCCCTGTATTATTTTCAGAAACTTAGCTGGTCTGTCTTTAATATTAACATAGAAGCAATGTTATTAAGTTTCTCAATTTTACCTGGAAAAGCCCAAGATAATGAATGAGATGCCCATGGATCATACATGAACAGTATATAAATTTTACAATGGAGAAAGGGAAATTTTTCTATACAATACAGAAGAGGAAGCAAACTGAAACTGTATCTATATATATTTAGGTCATTTTAATAAAACTCTACATCTGATCATTTTTTGGTATTCAGCTTATGATTATTTCTAGTATTTAAGCTTATGTATTTTTTAGCCTTGGGAGAAAAAAGAGATGTAACATACAATTAAAAGATAAAACTAGGGGCTGAGAAGTTGGCACGGTGGAAGAGTGCTTGCCTTACATACCTGAGGCCCTGGTTTCGATTCCTCAACACCACATAAGCAGAAAAAGCCAGAAGTGGCACTATGGCTCAAGTGGTAGAGTGCTAGACTTGAGTTGACAGTGCCCAGGCCCAGAGTTCAGGCCCATGACTGACCAAAAAAAAATAAATAAATAAAAGTACAAGCAATTGTATTATATAGCACCTCCAAACATCAGACTTTATGATACATTTTTGTGTGCGTGCACCAGTGCTGGGACCTGAATTGAGAGCCTGAGCACTGTCCTTGAGCTTTCTTGGTCAAGGCTACCAGTCTACCACTTGAGACACAGCTCCACTTCCAGTGTTTGGTGATTAGTTGGAGATAAGCCTCACTTACTTTCCTGCCCAGACTAACTTCAAACCACAATCCTCAGCTCTCAGGCTCCTGAGTAGCTAAGATTACAGGCAAAGATCTTAAATATGTGGAAGTACATTTAGTTATAATCATACAAATTTCACTCCAGAACTGAGCATCTAATGAGCTGTGAAAGGCTTTTGCAAAGATTCGATTTGCCATTTACACCTTAAGCTCTGGCCCACTTGTGGCTCTAGAAAACTCATTGTGAGGGCTCTGAGTAAATGCCGCCCTCCCAGCCCTCCCCCACACACACACATTACTCCCTACCAATCTGGCATTGAAGGGGGCATGTTTCTATGCAACCATCGTCTTTCAGAAAACTCCACTGTGGCGTTTTTTGAGAATCATAGTCATTAAAAGCAGGCCACCACCAAGACTGTCAGATAACCTCAGTCTTACGGCAGTTCTCTAGTACCTGGCATAGATGTCAATCAATAAAATAGTAACTATTCACATTTATCAGGCACTTGGCTAAGTGTTCTCATGCACACTTTGTCCTCTCAAAAGCTTCCAAGGTAGATGCTTTATCTCCACTTTAGAGGGGAGGCTTATGATCAAAGCCATGCAGAGCTGAGACCTGACAGAGCCAGGGCTGGCAGCTCTAAGATTAATCTAGGGAGTAGAAAAATACTTGTCAAATTAATATTCCACTCCATTGAAACACTTATTGTGGATTTGGAAAATGTTCAAATATACCTAAATAATTCTAGCATAAACTTAATTCCATAAGTATGCTAACAGAATCTCACTATGAACTTTAGTATATTTTTGGTGAAACCACAGCACTCTAGTGCCAAACAAATATGCTAAAGTTTCCCAGAACTAAACACAAAAATTCTTGTGTGTGGATTTAAGGGGAGAGTAAATGATATTTCTGACCTGAACTAACTGCTTCAAATATTCTAGCCAACTTTATTTCCCACATGGTACCTCCATGAAGTGCACAGCACATACAACAGTTCCACAAGCCTGTTCTTAACAGGGGCTCAGCGTGGACTAGCTAGCTGACCCATTTTTAATATACGCATGGTATTGAACAGAGAAGTACTCAACAAAGAGTATCACCTACACTGCATAGGAGATCAAAAGTGCTACTGGATGAATGCCTAATCTGAACACCAGCACAAAGCCAATCTTCAGAGAAATTGGGACACATAATAAACATGTGTTTATCTAATAACTCCACATCTAGAAATCCACACTAAAAAAGTCATTAGAAAATAAGTGGCAAGCCGGGTACCAGGGGCTCACACCTATAATCCTAGCTATCCTAGCTAGTCAGGAGGCTGAGATCTGAGGATTGCAGTTCAAAGCCAGCCCGGGCAGGAAAGTCCGTGAGACTCTTATCTCCAATAAACCACTAGAAAACCAGAAGTGGCGCTGTGGCTCAAGTGGTAGAGCGCTTGCCTTGAGCGCAGGGAGAGCACCAAGCCTAGAGTCTAAGCCCCATGACATAAAGAAAAGAAAAAGAGAGAGAGGGGGCTGGGAAGGTGGCTCAGTGGTAGAGTGCTTGCCTTGCATGCCTGAGGCCCTGGGTTCAATTCCTCAGCACCACATAAGCAAAAAGAAAAAAGCCGGAAGTGGCACTGTGGCTCAAGAGGTAGAGTGCTAGCCTTGAGCTGAAGAGGGACAGCGCCCAGGCCTAGAGTTCAGGCCCCATGACCGGACCCAAAAAAAAAAAAAAAAAAAAAAGAGAGAAAGAAAGAAAGAAAAGAAAGAAAGAAAGAAAGGAGGGAGGGAGGGAGGGAGGGAGGGAGGGAAGGAGGGAGGGAGGGAGGGAGGGAGGGAGGGAAGAAATAAGTGGCAGGATGGGAATGCGGCTTAGTGGCAGAGTACTTGCCTAATATGCACGGAGCCCTGGGTTTGGTTCCTTAGTACCACATACACAGAAAAAGCAAGAAGTGCTGCTGTGGCTCAAGTAGGAGAGCTCTAGCCTTAAGCAAAAAAGGATCTCAGGGACAGTACCTAGTCCCTGAGTTCAAGCCTCAGGACTGGAAATTGGAAAAAAAAAAAAAAAAGTGGTATGGATAAACAGATACTCTGTAGAAATAATTGTAACTGTTAAATGACAAATTACAAATTAATATCCAGAATAAAGGCCTCGAACAATTATACACAAGAAGAACAAACAATTGTAGTCATAAATAGGCAAATGAACTCAACTGGAAGTTCTCAAAGGAAGTACAAATGGCCAATACATGAAGACATGTTGAGTATCCTCAGCTATAAAAGAAATTCAAGTCAAAACAATACAGAGAGCTGGGCACTGGTGGTTCACGCCTGTAATCCTAGCTACTGAGGAGGCTGAGATCTGAGAATAGCAGTTCAAACCCAGACTGGCAAGAAAGTCTGTGAGACTTTTTATCTCCAATTAACCACCAGAAGACCGGAAGTGGAGCTGTGCCTCAAAGTAGTAAAGCACTAACCTTGCGCAAAATTGCTTAAGGACAGTGCACAGGCCCCGAGTTCAAGTCCCATAACCAACAACAGCAGCAAAAATAATAATAATGATGAGATTCTGTCTCACATCTCAGAAAGGTAACCATCAAGAATAAATCAACACACTCAGGTTGGCAAGGATGGAGAGTGGGAGAGAGGGGGGAATACAAATTGTTTAGCTATCTAGAAATCAGTTTGGAGGATTATCATATGATCCTGCTAAACCACTCTTAAGATTATATAGAGTGTATGTAAGTCAGCATACAGTACAGTACGGATACTTACACATGAGGTCTGCAACAACACTGAAAGTACCCATCAGTTTTTGAGTAAAGAAAATGTTGTATATATACACAGTGTAGATTATTTGGCCATAAAGAATAAAAATTTGTTAAGTGCAAGAAAAGGGGGTAGAACAGGAGAACATCATGTCATATGAGATAAGCAAGCTCAAAAAGACAAATATCACAACTTCTCTCTCATAAGGGGAACTGAGCAGGGACCTCCCCCAAAAAAAGGATGGAAGGAAGATATGCATAACACATGTACAACAGGGACTGTGAGGGGGAATCCAATCATAGGATTGGATCATAGTAAAAGGAGATGATAGAACTGACTAATATGATTATTCTATTGTCTAAAAACAAAGAATGGGAGAGTCAGGCATTTTTGGCCCACCTATAACCCTAGGTATTCAGGAGGCTGATATCTGAGGCCAGCCTGGGCAGAAGAGTCCATGAGACTCTTACCTCAATTAACCATCAAAAAGCCAGCTCAAATAGTAGAGTAAAGGAACAGTGTGAAACCCTGAGATCAAACCCAGTACCTGAAAAGGTAGGGGGGAGGGAAGTTTAGAAAGAGTAATAGAAAGCTGGGCACTGGTGGCTCATGCCTGTAATCCTAGCTACTCAGGAGGCTGAGATCTGAGGATCGAGGTTCAAAGCCACACCAGGCAAGGAAGTCCATGAGACTCTTACCTCCCATAAACTACTAGAAAACCAGAAGTGGCACTGTGGCTCAAGTGGTAAGAGCTGAAGAGCTAAGGGATAGTACCCAGGCCCAGGGTTCAAGCTCCATGGCCCAAAAAAAAAAAAAAAAAAAAGAGTAATAGATACAGTAACTATAGATGTATAGAAATACCACGATGGGCCAGGTGCCACTGGCTCACACCTATAACCCTAGCTACTCAGAAGGCTGAGATATGAGGATTGAGGGTCAAAGCCAGCCAGGTGAAAAAGTCACCTTGAGACTCTTATCTTCGATCATCCACTCAAAAACCAGGAGTGATGCCGTGGCTCAAAGATGCTCAAAGACGTAGAACACTAGCCTTGAGCAAAAAGAGCTCAGAGACAGCACTCAGGCCCTGAGTTTACTGTCCACAAGTTTCACAGTCTACAATTGAGAAAAAAATTCAGTGTATTTCACAAAAAAAAAAAAGTTGGATACCTAACACTTAAAGTAATCATTTCTAGTTACACAAACTGGAACAAACTTTTCCAGAAAACTTAAAAAGCTAACAAACCCATTTTGTGATACCATGATACAAAAAATCAGACAAAAATGGTATAAGAAATTAAAATTATTAGACTTTTGGAGGGGCCCCAGTGGCTTACACCTATAATCCTAGCTATCAGGAGGCTGAGATCTGAGGATCAGGGTTCAAAGAGACTCTTATCTCCAATTAACCACCAGAAAACCAGAAGTGGCCCTGTGGCTCTAGTAGTAGAGTGCTTGCATTGGGCTGAAGAGCTCAGAGAGAACGCCCAGGCCCAGAGTTCAAGCCCCATAACTGAAAAAATGAAATAAATAAAATTATTAGATTTTTGAGCACTAATGCAAAAACCTCAAATACTGCTATGCCACATAACAAAACAAAACAGACACAACCAAAATAAGAATGGATTTAGAGCTAATCTAATCACAGGCTCAGGCCCCTGAGGTAGGCCCTCAGAAAATCTTGCCCTAGCCCTCAATATACATCCTCACACCTCACAAAAACTTTTCTCTCTTGTTCTCTCTCTCCTCCTGTCCCTCTCCTCCTCTCTTTCTGTTTTGTTTCTTTGTGGTGCTGGGGATGGAACGGAGTGCCTGGCATATACTAAGCAAGCATTCCACCACTGGGCTTCAGAGCTCCAGTTCTGCTTTTCTCCTTAGATGCCATTTCAATATATATGTCCCAGAATCTGTCCTGTGAACAAGGCCTCTATAAACTGGAAAGAAAAAAAATACATAGCTCTACTCCCAGCAGCAAGCCAAGCAGTGATCCAATTACTTGTCCACAGTAACCAAGGCCCTCCACCTGTCCTAAAACCAAACATCTATCTCCACCCTTCTCACTTCTTCCCAAACACCTTTAAACCCACCTTTTATAAACAATATGTTACTCTTCACCCAAACTTCCTTGACATTTTTCTGTCACTGCTAAGATTCTGTGTTTGCCTTGCATGCATGAGGCCCTGGGTTCGATTTCTCAACACCACATAGAAAAAGCTGGAAGTGGCACTATTTCTCAAGTGGTAGGGCTCTAGCCTTGAGCTGAAGAGCTGAGGGACAAAACCTAGGCCCAGAGTTCAGGCCCCATGACTGGCAAGAAAAAAAAGAAAGGCAGAAAGTTACAGGTTAATTGTTGAGGTTTTTTCACTGATATACTTATGTCACTCTGAAAAGTCCAACTGTCAACAACTCAACATGAAATGATCATTCATACGAATAAAATTCACGTAAGACTAATTCATCCTACAAAATATCAGCTGTTATATAGACTGAGTTACAACCTCACAAAATCCAAATGCTGAAGCTCTAACTCACAACATGAGTATACATAGAGATAGGGTGATTTACGGAGGTAACTAAGGTTAGCAGAGTTACAGGGGTGGAGTCCTAACCCCACAAGAGTAGTGGCCTTGTAAGAAGACATGGCAATTCTTCCGTACTTACACATACACAGAGGAACACTGAGAAAGAAGTTGGCCCTTTAAAGGCTAGAAAAAGAGGCCCCACCAGAAGTCAACTGTGACCACACCTAGAACTGGGACTCTGAGCCTCCAGGACTGCGATAAAGTTCTATTGTACTAGTCACCTACTCTTTAGCATCCAGATGACCCAATCACCCGTTTAAAATGAGGATACAGCAAGCCAACAATGTCTGTTGTTGGGAAGGGTAGCTCATGTGTGACATCTAAGTATTTGAACTTTTTTAAAATCAAAACGTGGGGGGAGGGGCTGGGAAGGTGGCTCAGTGGTAGAGCGCTTGCCTTGCATGCAAGAAGCCCTGGGTTCAATTCCTCAGCACCACATAAGCAGAAAAAAAAGCCAGAAGTGGCGCTGTGCCTCAAGTGGTACAGCGCTAGCCTTGAGGTAAAGAGCTGAGGGACAGCGCCCAGGCCCAGAGTTCAGGCCCACAACCGGACCCAAAACAAACAACAACAACAAAAAAAAAAACGTGAGGGGAGGAGGCTGAGATCTGAGGATCGTGGGTCAAAGGCAGCCCGGGGAAGTTAAGTCTGTAAGACTCCTATCCTCAATAAACCACTAGAAAACCCGGAAATGGCGCTCTGGTTCAAGTGATAGAGTGCTAGCCTTAAGATGAAGAGCTGAGAGACAGTGCCCAGACCCAGAGTCCAGGCCCCACAACCAACCGAAAAAAAAAATCAAAACATTGAAATCTCAAGGAATCTGGAGCAAACTTTCCAATTATTGATATTTATATTAGCCTCCCCCTGAATAAATACTCATCAAGCCCCTCTCCCCTCTCCTCACCTCCTTCCCACTGAGTTGGGTAGTGGTCATAGATCCTGCCCCTACAACTATCTCTAGCTAATCCCTTACAGTATCTAAGGCCTCAGCTTGTCTCAGAGGAGCAATGTCTAGGGAATCAAGTTTCCCTCACTCTTGGTTGATACACTTTCTCCTTGGCAAACTGTCTCCAACTCGTAACTTGGGATTTAGATCTTTCTAAAACTCTCTACCTATAAACACAGCCTTGACCTTGATGAAACTTCTATGGCAAACAAAGATGGGGTAGGCAGAGCTCATGCCAAAAATGCAAGATTATCCCTCTCTACTGACTAAAACCTAAAACAAAAACAGAGTATGATTTTGTTTAAGTCTATCTAAGTGGTTGCAGTCCTCTTATTTCCACCAAAAAAAGAGTGATTAGTGCAGATAATGTTCCCTCATGAAGTTGCCAGGCCAACAGAACTGTACTTATTTAAAATTACAAATTTGTCTTAGTATAGAGCCAGATGTCCATTTTCTAGAGAGCATCCTACCCCGTTTCCTAATGACACTCAGATGACAGAGGCAGGGCCGCGTGAGCAGGGAATCAAGGGACTAGAACACTTCAGGGTTTCAGGTCACAGCAATGCCTACAGCAACATTCAGTAATTAGGTGCAAAATAACCTTTCCCAGTAGCTAGAACAATCTTCTAAAAGACAGTAAGTTAACACAACTTGAGAAACTAAAAAGAATGCTTAGGAATGTTTGCAATGAGAATGCTAGGAATACAGCCTTTAAAACCCCAGGGTAAAGCTTTACTTACATGATGGTATAATGAACTGTGGCTCAGTGTTGCCTGCGTAGCCAAGCTTGGTATACCTAAAAGCACAAAGTCATCACACGTTTAGATGATAAAGCTCTCATCCACATTCCATTAATGTCTTTCATCTTAAGTACTCCAAGTCCTAAAATATCAAGTCTCAGATTATAACCTGAGTTGTGAAACAGGTAACTGTGAATACTAAGAATCAAATACAAATGTCAAATAAAGTGGTTATAAAACAGCATTATACTTTTTCTACTACAATACAAACAAATGATTTGTGCATCCCTAATGATTTTTAAAGTGCTTCCATGCTCTTTCAGTCCTTACAAAACTTAAGAAAAAAGTGAATAGTATCCGACTTTGCAGATGAGAAAATTAAGGCACTGAGAATAATTAAGCTGCCTAAGACCAACTAGTGAACTGCAGGAAAAAAAAAAAAAGCAAAAATCTAAATACTGCAGGCTAATTCTGGCATTGGCTCTGTAGAAGTAGACTTATTTCCCAACTTCCTGAACTTTTGGGGGGAGTGGGTTAGAAAAGGATTATGTAATTTTCTCTAAATGTCATGGCATATGTCTAGAACAGCTACTGTCGTCTCCTGGGACTGGTCTGACAGAAGTATCTCTTTACCATCTCATTTCAGAAGAAGCCCATTTTCTGTCAAGATACCCTGCATGATAGATTCCAAAAGTCTTTACTAAAACCAATGCCAAAATACTACTATGTGTTCCAAAAGCATTTGCTAATCTCCTAAATATAAAAAAGGGGGTGAAAACCGTCAGACCATCTGCTGGAAAAGCTGAGAAGCTTCAGTACATTGAAGAGACTTATCAGCTCTTCCTTTTTTACCAAGACTAATTAATAGTGAAGTCTGCACAGCCAGGCCCCATGCTGCACTAAATCATAAATAAAATACTTAGAGCCTTGTGAAAGGAGCTATGAATTTATTTTTCACAAACTAGTCCAATGTGCTTGAGACTAGATCGTTGGAGTGACATTTCTAATTATAACAAATTGATTTTTATGATTTTTAAATGTATTTTACCACATGCTAGACTTAGGGAAGACAAAACAAGTGAGGTGTCTGCCTTATATCATACCACACGGCTCAGCCTCCACAGCACCTGAGTTCATGTCCCAGGGGAAAGTGAGACCTCAGCTCTAGGGACTGCGAGCCACCTGAAGCCCTCTCAAGTCTGCAGACTGCAGAGCTGGGAAGAGAGCCTGCAAGTCTACTACTCCAAGATTCACAGCCACAAAGGGAAAGTTTCCAGGTCAACTCGGATTCCAGAGGTTTTCCAGCGTGGATGCAACATGGACTGAACCACAAAAACCCACAGGCAGAAGAATGAGGTGGCACATGCCTACAATCCAGTACTTGGAAAGTTGAAGCAGAAAGATGGCAAGTTCTTAGGGCTAAACAGAAAAATCTTGTCTCAAAAAAAAAAACAAAAAAAAAAAACAAAAAAAAAAGGACAGGTGCCAATGGGTCATACCTCTAATCCTGAACTACTGAGGAGACAGCTCAAAAGCACTGCGGTTCAAAGCCAGCTCAGGCAGCCCATGAGATTTTCTTCCAATTAAATAGCAATTAACCACCAAAAAGCTGGAAGTGGAAGTATGGCCCAAGTGGTAGAGCACTAGACTTGAAGAAAGCTCAGGGAACAGAGTTCAAGCCCCAGAACTGGTACAGGCATGCATTTGCACACACACATACAGAGAAACAGAAACAAAAACAACAGAAGTGCTTTTCTTACATCTTTATACAGGGTACTTGCTCCTCTATCTACAGGGAAGTTCATCTGAGGCCTGTGTGAGATCCTGTCTCAAACTCAATTTCAACTAGAATAGCACTACTCCCTCCTAAGACTGTCACACAAAACTGAGCTTAGATCTTAATAACAGTTTTTAAATAATATATAATCCTCACACTATGCACTGTATAACTGCAATCAGTTTTTCAAATGTTCACCCTGGGTTGTATAAACCACAGTCTCTTTTTATAGAATTCAGGATTTCCAAATGCACTTATCTCAATTTAGTCTTTTTTACCTATTTGATCTGCCCCTAAGTTGGGCTTTTGTTGTTGTTTTGTTCCTTGTTTTTGTTTTTTGTTATTTGGTAAATGTAAGAGGTAAAGGGCTGCCCGGTGGGAACCCTAGAGCCCTGTGGGGACTATGACTGGCTGCAGATTCAACTGGTGTGTGTGGAAGTATCAATGACTTCGGTGGAAAACCCTGGTTGTGATTGTTTTACACAGAATTAGAAGTGTCTGATCTGTAGTAACCAGTCAAAAGACAGGAGTCCCTGTATGTACCTATCTTAGTGATTCCTGGTATCCTGGGTCTGTTTCTAAAACTGCTACCCTTACTTCCTGATTTCTTGTTAGCTACCCCTTAGAATGTACCCTTATAATAGCCCTGAACCAATCTGAACTGTTTTTACAAGAGGCTGGGGAGGACATGTGGGTTTAACCAAGTCTGAAAGTTAACTCATTCCTTGCCCCCACAATGTTACTAAAGATATCATAACTCTTCATGGGCATATTCTTCATTTGTCACCCCTGAATCTGCTGGTTGGAACTGGCATTTCTCCTTTATGGACTCTGAATATTATGAAATGAACTGTAACTTCCATATTAAAATGGTATTTCATATGGCATTTTAACTGTTTAAACGGCGGAGTAAATATGATCTAACATCATTCTTTCCTAAAGTTCCATTAGAACCAAAGTAAAAGGAGCTTTTAAAAAGCTGTACTAAGGGGCTGGGAAGGTGGCTCAGTGGTAGAGCGCTTGCCTTGCTATGCCTGAGGCCCTGGGTTCAATTCCTCAGCACCACATAAGCAAAAAGAAAAAAGCCGGAAGTGGTGCTGTGGCTCAAGTGGTAGAGCGCTAGCCTTGAGCTGAAGAGCTGAGGGACAGCGCCCAGGCCCAGAGTTCAGGCCCCACGACCGGACCAAAAAAAAAAAAAAAGCTGTACTAAGCCATAGATAGGGAGAAAAGAGACAATAGTAACCTATGGCTGGGGTGCTTTCTAACTTCCTGTATTACCCTATCACCTTGGTAACCAACTGTGAATAGGATGTGAGCCTGACTCCTTGACGAGAGACAGACTTGGGATGGAATAAAAACCCAGCAGGCTGCCCCACCAGTGTGTCTGCCTGGAAAGAATGGCTACACACCCTTCTGCACAGAAACTGCCTTGGTATAATCTCCTTTATCCCTGTGTATCTATTCATTTTCTGGCACAGGAGCTTTGTGTGTTGCCAACCTTAATCTGCATTTGTTGTTGTTTTTTGTTTTTTGTGCCAGTCCTAGGGCTTGACCTCAGGGTCTGGGCACTGTCCCTGAGCTTCTTTCACTCAATGCTAGCACTCTACCACTTGAGCCACAGTGGCACTTCTGGCTTTTTCTGTGTATGTGGAGGAATAGAATCCAGGACTTCTTGTATGCAAGGCAAGAATGCTACCACTAGGCTACATTCTCATCCTGCTAATCTGCATTTGTTAGATGTATTTATGACCATTTTCTTAAATTCATATTATGTTCAACAGACTCTCACTTTTTTTTTTTTTTTTTTTTTGGTCAGTCATGAACTCTGGGCTTGGGTGTTGTCCCTGCATTCTTCAGCTCAAGGCTAGCACTCTACTGCTTGAGTCACAGCATATTTCCAGTTTTCTAGTGTTTTACTGGACATAAGAGTCTCACAGACTTTCCTGCCTGGGCTGGCTTTGAACTGTGATCCTCAGATCCTAAGTAGCTAGGATTACAGGCATGAGCGCCCGGCTCAGACTCTCACTCTTGTTCAACTTGCATATGATTCCATTCTCTGTTTTCTATTTAGTTGATTATTTTTGTTTGTTGTCTATGGTGCTGACAACAACCAGAGCCTCATATATGTGAATAAGCAACTGTTCTGCCACTGAGGTACAGGCCCAGCATCTGAACTAATCAATTCTGTGTATATGTTGTGCGTATATTGGTCCTGACACTTGAACTTTTTTGCTCAAAGCTAGTGCTCTACCACTTGAGCCACATCTTTACTTCAGACTTTTTGGTGGTTAATTGGAAATAAAGAGTCTCACAGACTTTCCTGATGGGACTGGCTTCAATCCTCAAATCTCAGCCTCTTAAGTAGCTAGAAATATAGATATGAGCCACCAGTACCCAGCCTGAAATGATCTATTCTTACTCTATTGTTTTTCTTCCTTCCAGCTGGTAAAGTTTTTTTGCTTTTGTTTTTTTTTTGTTTTGTTTTTTTGTTTGTTTTGTTTTTTGTCGGTCGTGGGGCTTGAACTCTGGGCCTGGGCGCTGTCCCTCAGCTCTTCAGCTCAAGGCTAGCGCTCTACCACTTGAGCTACAGCGCCACTTCCGGTTTTCTGGTGGTTTATTGGAGATAGGAGTCTCACAGTCTCTCCTGCCCGGGCTGGCTTTGAACCGTGATTCTCAGATCTCAGCCTCCTGAGTAGCTAGGATTACAGGCGTGAGCCACCAGCACCCGGCTAGCTGGTAAAGTTTTGAAGGTTGCAGTCAGTGTTAACTATAATGAAAGCTTCAATCCATCAATTTCCAGAGTGAAAGGTATTCCTTGACTACATATGATGAAAGATAAACTATCTCCCTCCCCTACTTGTCAGCCTAATTCATTATGTTGACATTTTCAGCAGTTTTTTGGCTGTGTATGCATGACTATCTTTCGATTTTCAAGGCTATGTTAGTATTTATTCCACTTTTATAGGTTATATTTCATATATATGAAATCCTCAGATTCTTTTTTTTTTTTTTTTTTGCCAGTCCTGGTACTGAACGCTGGGCCTGCACACTGTCTCTGAGCTCCTTTTTGCTCAAAGATAGTGCTCTACCACATGAGCCAAAATGCCACTTCTGGCTTTTTCTGTGATTAATTGGAGATCAGAGTCTCTCACAGACTTTCCTGCCCATGATGGCTCTGAATTGCAATCCTCCTGAGTAGCTAGGATTACAGGCATGAGCCACTGGTGCCCAGATGATCCATCTTTCAGTTGGCTGGGTTATATATGCAAGTAAGTTTTT